AAGTGAACTCAAAATCATATCGATTTTATCAACTGCACCCATCAAGGCATTGTAGTCTGCTACACACTTTGGTTTTCGCTTTGGTTCGCCAGTTTGATAATTAATTTTTTTTGTTTCAACGAAATCATCAGAATGTGAGGTGGATAGCATCCATACGTCTTTTTTATCACGCCACTTTAACGCTAATAGATTGTGTGTCGATCTATTTGTACATTCTCCGCCTTTTAATTTTTCTTCCATTTTTGGCATATCTTTCCTATTTTTTCTCACAGTTCCAAAGGCATTGGTTTTTTCCTTTTCGTGTAATAGATTGTATAAGTGCGGACTCGTGTACCAGTTGTCAGTGATAAGTGTATGCCCTTTTCCTACGTATGATTTCAGGAGTGTCAAAGTAATGTTTCCAGATTGTCCAATTGATGGAACTTCCTCAGTGACATCATTATTTTTTCCAGAATAAATTATGAAGTCTAGTATATAGCCGGTTTTGCAATCGCAAATAACGAACGACTTAATGCCAAATCTACTCCTCTTTGTTGGAATATATTGTTTAAAGAATAGTCTTCCTTTATAAAGTAAAAGACTTTCGTCTATGCATAAATATTCATATGGATAAAATGATTTAGAAAATGAGTTTCTAAGTTCAGTAACCACCGGTCTTATTTTTATCAACGGATCATGCGAGCTCATATTATTGTCATCATTAAAATGTAGCATTTTCAGCAATGATTCATATCTAACTCTGCTCATTAGTTTTGAAAAAATTTCAGTTTTTGTAACTTTATCAGTAGACCAATATTCTCTTATAGATGTTTTTTCATTCTGGACATTAGCATAGTAATAGCAATAAATAAATATATTTCCGAAGGTGAAGTATCTGTCCAGTTATTTACGCGTGAATGAACTGCATGTATTTTAGTTTGCGCCAGATTTTTATGGAAATTATTTGTTTTCTCGCAGATACCAGTAATTAATTCTTCCGAGAAAAATATTTTAAACGCATCCAAAGGAGTGAATATTTTCGATAAGTGTCCCCTTATCCCCGAATTTGATTCATCAAAATCATATAATTTTGGTTCAAAATTTTTCTTAGACCATGAATAGTTTTCTGCCGTATCATTAGATCTCGAACTAACATTTTCCTGTAGACCTTCGTCCTCTTCAGAAGATGAGCTAAATATTCGAAGACGTCTTCTGCTTTGCTTATATAATGGAACTCTCTCTTCGGTTTCCGAAGCTACAACAGAAGGTTTGATTATGTTTGTTCTAACATCCAACCTATTGTGTTGATTCTCACCGCTTGTGTCACTGCTTATTTTTAATCCCTTGGTCTTCTTATAGATCTCGACAGAATCCGAAGACGAATTCCGCATCCTTTTTCTTTCAAGTGTTTTAATTTCAACTGTTTCAATGTCATGTTCATAGGCCATGTCACTATCACTGTTACTAATGTGTTCAAACTCATTCTCAGACATTTTAAGGGTAATTTAAAATGAAATTTTAAAACGCAAAGAACAGATTTTTAGAAAGTAGCAGTACTTATAACCTTTAAAAGTCTTTGGTAGCGATATGTTAGCTAATGCGCAATGAATGCACACACAAATTTAATTAACAATATTGATAAACGATTGCACAAAAGCCTTTTGTTATATCTATAAAGGCTCACAGGCACCAGTCACATATATCTGTTTATAGATTCCCTTTTCCCAGATTGAATGGTTTCGTGAGGACCCACATATGTGTTCATAACCTAAACCGAATGGTTGCGTGAGAACGCATATGTGGGTTCATAGCCAAAAACGAATGGTTATGTGAAAACGCATATGTGGGTTCATAGCCAAAAACGAATGGTTATGTGAAAACGCATATGTGGGTTCATAGCCAAAAACGAATGGTTGTGTGAGAACCCATATATGGGTTCATAGCGCTCAAAAGGTTAAAATGAAATAATGGAATAAGATCTCCCGCAAATGCTGTTTTATTAGTATAAAATTCGACATTTTCAATGCAGTAGAAAAATTTGTTGTTTATATTGCAATAAAATATGGCAATACTGAATTACCCATGATTATAGTACTTCTATATGGATGTATTACCATCTTAAACTACATGCACACAGTATTGCTAATATCATCTATCAGTAAACGGCGGAAACTTATTCAAATAATATTAGGAGTACAAATAAGTTTCCGCCGATTGACTAAAGATGGCCCCACCAGAAGGTTATGTTGAAGTTGTCAGATGTAAAACGTAATATCGTAAGTTTGGACATCTGGTAACAACATAACCTTGAAATATTAGTGACTCCGTATCACCATCACATAATTTTTTTCGTGCGAAAATGTCAAGTTTTGTGCCGAATAAGCGTCATTTGCGGGAACTTTTGATTTACTTCTTTAATTTGAAGAAATCTGCAGCTGAGGCGCATCGATTGCTTGTAGAAGCATATGGTGAGACTGCTTTAAGTGAGAGAAGTTGTCGTGAGTGGTTTCAAAAGTTTAAAAACAGTGAGTTTGACGTGGAAGACAAAGAACGTAGTGGAAGGCCGAAAGTGTACGAAGACACGGAATTGGAAGCATTATTGGAGGAAGATTCGTGCCAAACGCAAGAAGAACTTGCACTTACATTAGAAGTGACTCAACAAGAAATTTCACATCGTTTAAAATCGTTGGGAATGATTCAAAAACAAGGAAATTGGGTTCCATGTGAACTGAATCCGAGAAACGTTGAACGCCGATTTTGCACGTGTGAAATGCTGCTTGCCAAGCATAAAAGAAAGGGTTTTTTGCATCGTATAGTCACTGGTGATGAAGAATGGATCCACTACGATAACCCAAAGAAGAGAAAATCATGGGGACCACCTGGCCATGCTTCAACATCGACAGCCAAACCGAATATTCATGGAAAAAAACTCATGCTGTGTATTTGGTGGGATCAGCTTGGTGTCGTATATTATGAGTTGCTCAAACCGAGCGAAACCATTACTGGAGCTCTCTACCGAACACAATTAATGAGATTGAGCCGAGCACTCAAGGAAAAACGCGCCCATTACTACTCCAGACACGACAAAATTATTCTCCTACATGACAACGCTCGGCCACATGTTGCAAAACCGGTCAAAACCTATTTGGAAACACTTAATTGGGAAGTCCTACCCCACCCGCCGTATTCACCAGACATTGCCCCTTCCGATTGTCACTTGTTCCGGTCGGTGGCACATGGCCTCTCTAAGCAGCGCTTTACATCATATGAAGAGACTAAAAATTGGGTCGATTCGTGGATAGCTCAAAAGATGAAGAGTTCTTCCGACGTGGTATCCGAATGCTGTCAGAAAGATGGGAAAAGGTAGTGGCTAGTGATGGACAATACTTTGAATAAAACGTAATGTACTGTTCTTTCACAATAAATTCCTAATTTTTGATAGAAAACGGCGGAAACTTATTTGTACTCCTAATATTACCTCTGCAAGAAAGCGCAAGCGTGCGATATGGAAATATAACACAGCATTAACAATTGCTAAACAATATATAACGAAGAGCTTAATACTAATTACGGAATAATAATGTAGAAGAATAGGATAGAGAGGAATAATATAATAAATTGTGGAAGAATAATACTGGCAATAATATATATTTAACAATATATGTGATAAAGAAACAGTATACAATTTGCATATAAACATGCGCGCGAATAATGAATTTGTATTATTTTTATAGTATATATTTGTTGCAAAGGTGATGATTATGGAAAAAATGTGTCATACACAATGATTTTTTACACCAAGAACAAGTAATTATAGTAGTTTGGCCACAAATATCGCATTATGTTTAAATCACTCTGAAAGCAACATTCAACCGGTGTTTGAAACTCTGTTGGTCTAGTCTGTATATATCCATTTTTAAACCAGGCATATTTAAGAGGTTAGACCACTGTGACGGGCGTTTTTTCAGGGTAATTTTCAGGAATTAATTTCTAACAAAATATTTATGAAACACCAGTAATTTTTTTTTATTATCTTCTATACACATTGAAGAACGTGTCAAAATTTTGTTGTCCAAAAAAATATAAAACTCGTCGAGTAAAGCCGCTTCGTGCATCCCTATGATTTTCACGCATGGTCGGATGGTGTACGTGATTTCGTGAAAACCAGTCGTCTGAAATAAAAATACAAAATATCTCGTTATCTATATATGTATTGGCTTTCGGTTGACGGAGTATTTTATTTTTTTCATTTTTGGCGACGAGAAAAAAATTCCTGAATTTTGACTGCAATTTTTAGGCCCAAATTACATGTTATTATTATTAATAATTATTGAACAAAACATAATATTGACAAAATCGTCCGTCAACCGAAAGACACTAGTCCTTAGAATAAATGTATCAAATTTCAAGTCGATTCGTTAATTATATCTCGAGATATCGTGTACACCGTTTTGAAAAACATAGTTTTGCGAAAAACGCGTTTAAAGTTTTGGTACTAGTTTTTTCAGTGAAAAAATGTATTTCATCTTCTTATCCTTAATCTGCCATTCCTGCCTCATAAAGGGGACCTTCCTCTTCATAAAATCTTCTTCAAGAGCCGATCTCATCGCTCTTCTTTCGATTCTTCCCTCTTTAGAGGCCTCGAATGATCACGCGTCGGCAATTGAAATCCTGGTGTCATCCACCTCTGTGCACAATGCAACGGCATTTGGTCCAATTATTATATTCATAATGTGCATCATTTTTAGAAGACTCTCGAAACCTTCGTTGAAAATGCTCGCTGCCAAATATGATGCAATTTCTACCGTCTTTGCGCCGCTGAACACTCGCTTTGGAGCAAACGACCATATGAGAGCGTTGAGACTTTCATTGTTATTTTGCGTAAATCCTCCTATGCACCGCTGTAGTAAATTTTCGCTGCTTAGCTCTTCGTAGATAGGAGTGATTGCGCTCAACACGTAATCGCTGAGAGCCGGTTTATGTGAATACTCGGCCAGTTTGCCCTGAACCTTTGCTTTCTGCTAAATACACCAGCTGTCATCCCCAGGCGGACAGCTATCGTGCTGCGGATTTGTATCGGTCGACAAGTTATGCTTCAACGTAGCCCAGATTGCCGTCTTCATGTCTTCTGCGGAATCTTTATTTCTTCGTATTGCGAGGCCGTAAAAAAGACTCAGCTCATCAATGAGCTTTGCTGTGAGCTTGTCTTTACCACTGAGGCCTTTCGTTTTTTTTTTCAATTTCCGAAGTCGGGCTCCCATTCTTTTTTGTACGTGACCAACGCATTCTTTTTTCAATACAGTGCAATCTTCACCATAAGGTCGAGATTCGAAAATGCCTTTAAAAGTTTTACTATCGCCGTCACCAATATATGAAGAATATCTAATGTTGCGTAATTCTTCTGATCTTGAGAACATTTCGACAGCCGCGTCCACCTTCATTTTTCCGGCACTTCCAATGTGATTCGCACTGCATTCGTCTGCATGGGATTCCATCCATACCTCGTATTCCATGGTGTTCATTTTCGGCTTCCAGTACTCGCACTGTTTACAATATGAACATTTCACAAGGAGATCGAGTACTTTTCCCGTATAATGGCCGATCAACGTTGTCACTCCTTGCAACGACGAAAATCCTCGCTTTCTCCATGTTCCATCGCCAGAAACTGTCAATCCTGTTGGTTCGGCTCCTTTTTCGGCATTTTTCGTCAACTCTTTCTCTTCAGCAGCAGCTTCCGAAAACAGTGAATTGGCCACGGATTTCGACGCGCAAAGCACATTACTAATCACGTCATAATAAATTTTTTTGCTGAACATTTTCGGGAGGTCCATTATACCGCAAAACTTTCGAATGCCATTGTAACCGACACCAAGGATTCTCATCGCGAAAACGATACGCCTGTTAATTTCGTAAGCGTTTTTTATGAGCGGACAAGAGTTGATGTAGCGTGGTTCACAATTATTGCAATTGATGACTAACTTGAATCCAAGTCCACGAATACTTGATTCAGAAAAAGTCAGATTTCCGTCGCACTCTTTGCACTTCACCATTTCGCTCAGTGCGAAAAGAAGGATAAAAATGTTATTAGACGATATCCGTGGGCAGCATTTACTGGCACTTCCACCGAGCCCGTTTTTAGTTTTTTCGCGGAAGCACTTGTCGATGCAGCTTCACTCTCGAACGAATGTCGATTCGGTGGCGCCGGTTTTTTTTAGTTCGTGAGGGTCGTCCGGGTATTTTACGCGCACCCTTTCTGTCACGCGATGATCGCTTCATTTTGAAAGAAATTAGAAATTTTTCAACCGTCGACGATACGTTTAGCGGCACGAGAAACAGCGAACTGATCACAGCTGTTCTAAATTTTGACCATAAAATTCTAATGACATCTGTTGGTGTATTAGAGAAGTTCAAAATTGAATGGTAAGTCATTATGCTGAACCCGCCGAGCAGGTAACGATTTATCGCAGGTACGCATTTCGGAGCATTTTGGAACGCTTGAGTAATAGCTCGAAATTTTAATGAAAACGACTTCGGGCGGGTATGAGACATTTTGTCCCTTATTCTAGAGGGTTCAAAGGATTTTTTAAGCTAATAAAAAAAATCGATTTTTTGAAAATTTCACAGTGGTCTAACCCCTTAAATAAATTTTGAAATCTGGGCAACGAGAATTGATGATAAGTTAATGATTGCAATTTCAATATATTATTTCTAGCATGAAGATCAATTGCAAGATTTAATAACAGTATCAAAAAAATGCCTAATAAAATTTTTCTATAATCGGAAGCCATATACATCTAACGGTTGTATTTTTCCTGTTGTACCGGCTGGAATTGTTAGGAAAACAATATCTGTTGCAAAATCTGTTCTCGTCTCCTGAATTATGTTGGGACAATGTCCACTCCAAGAATCTAATAATAATACGGATTGTGGGCCAACATTCGGAAAAAATACTTCTTTCAACCAAGTTTTTATATGACTCGGTGTTAATTTGTCTGGTTTAGAAGCCGTAACAAAACTATTAGGTGTTTTGAACATAGTTTATTTTGCTTTAGGACCGAATGTTCTCGTTACTTCCTTTTAATTAATAAAAAGAGGCGATAATAGTCTACCATCTGCAGAAATAGTTGGCTGTATGGTATAACTGTGTGTGATTGCTGATGTAGATTGTATTATAGCTTCTATATTTTTTAGATCTTTTTGGGATAAAGTACGACCAGAGTGAAATTCAAGTTGGAATCCACTCTGATCCGAATTATAGACATTGTCTACGCCGTATCGTTCAATATAATATTTTACATCTTCAATAAATGTATTACACTTATCTTCTAAATCTGTTTTCGATAACAATGATTTTTTGTTACAAATTTTGTTATTTTTCGAGAGATGATATCATATGAAGTTTTAAATCTTTTTACCCACGTTTCGGAAGCTTTAAATCCTATCACATTTTCCTCTTCTTGTGCTCGAGAAGCCCATCGAACAATGTCAATGTCATGAATAATTATTCTATTTTCAAGCGCTTCATTAAAACGGTTTATTGTATATCCAGAAATTCTTTTTAATTTTTCATCTCTGCTGCCACCTGCACTGATTTGGTCCTCCCATCGTCGTAATTGTCGCATCGATGTTACTTTTCTGTATCTTCTTTCATTAGGAGCGCAAAAAAGTTCTGAGCCTTTTTTTGCAAAATTCAAAATTTATTTAAAAACAAACAAAACTATATTAATCAACGAAATATTCCCCGTTTGCATCGATGACCTTTTGCCATCTTTCGGGCAGCTTGCGAATTTCCTGATGGTAGAAGCTCACCGGCTTCGAGGCGATAAAGTCATCAATGCATTTTCGTATCTCTTCAAGTGTCACAAAATGTGTATCAGCCAAGAAATGCTGCAGAGACCGGAATAGGTAGTAATCGGAAGGCGTCATGTTTGGGCTATACGCCGCGTACGGGAGAAGTTCCCAGCCTAACGCAAAGATATGGTCCTGAGTCACTTTCGCAACATGTGGTCGGGCATTGTCATGAAGCAGTATCACTGTACGACGTCCTTTGCCAGTAAATGGCCTCTTTTCTTCAAACGCATCGCTCAAATTGCTCAATTGTTGCTGATAGCGATCTGCCGTTACTGTTTCACCCGGCTGTAACAGCCCGGGTGTAACTCGTAATACAATACACCTTTCCAATCTCACCATATGTAAAGCAAAACCTTCTTGGCATGGATATTGACCTTTGGCGTCGATGTCGAAGGTTGACCAGGGTCAACCCATGATTTTTTACGCTTCGGATTATCATAAAGTATCCACTTTTCATCACCTGTAATGATTTGGTGCAGAAAATCCTTTTTCCGGAACCTTGAAAGCAAAGTGAGTGCCGTGTCACGCCGTCGATTTTTGTTGTCTTCGGACAGTGCATGCGGAACCCATCTGCCTTCCTTTTGAACTTTTCCCATTGCATGTAAACGTGTGGAAATAGCTTGTCGCGTAACGCCAAGTTGCTCTGCAAGCTCCTTTTCAGTTTGTGCAGAGTTTATATCCAACAATGCTTGCAGTTCGTCCGTTTCAATCTTTTGAGGGCGTCCAGCACGCGGTTCATCTTCAAGACTGAAATCTCCTTGGCGAAATTTTTGATACCACCTTTTACACGTAGCATAACTTACAGCGTTCTCTCCATATGCAACACAGATCATTTCAGTGGCTTCAGCAGCATTTTTCTTCAGATGAAAGTGGAGTTCAGCGAAGTGGATGGAAAATCGAATATGCTCTTTTGTTATTGCCATCGTGAACACTGCTGATTTTAAGGTTATATGCATCAAACGCCAAATCGCACGATGTTTCGAAAGACCACATGTCACTGCTTTAAAACCGCAAGAGGGCGGGAAAATTAATGCAATTTAAATTGTGGTTTCAGCAGTATGAAATCTAGGGCTCAAAACTTTTTGCGCTCCTAATAACTCCTTCAAGCGATCTTGGTCCTGTTTTACTGCCCTTCCAGTATTCCACAGTTTGCCTTTTATAATAATTTGATATTCCTGCTTCAACGAAGCCACAAATCACTTTTTCCGGGAGATATCCTTTTCTTTCATTTTCCTCTAATAAATCAATATTTTCCGCTTCTAGAACTTCATATGTATTGTAAAAATCTAAAATTTCTTCCTCTTCTATTTCAAATTCCTCTTCATTTTCTATTTCTTTTAACAAATATTTAATCTTCTCCTTCACTTCTACTTTTTTTGGAGTTATCGGACTTAGTGGAAAGTTAAGAGCAATGAAAGTTGTATAGAGTAACATTACAACATTCAAGGGATTAAATTGCATCATTCTGAAAAATATTAAAATGAAATATTTTTCTCGAACCATGATATATAAAATAATATATAAAATAAAACACACTTTATAATTAATGCAGTGATTTTCTTATGTTAATCCTGATGCCGCTTCTTCTCTCTGTCAAATATATGTAGTGAATCTAGAATAAATTAATGTCGTGAAAACGGAAAGACAGCTCTATATTTACGTATGTAGATATTCTGAAATTGAAATAACTACACATATTTTTTCTTCAAATTAGTAAAAATTTTCTTTGATTATTAATCATTATTATATATAATTTATAATTTAACTCTTGTTCAATTTCGCTCCATTTTTCCGTATATTATCACATTACTGATAACTCGACAAACTATTGCAATTCCAATAATATAAAATAGAGAGTGACAAGATATGTAATAATAAATATAAAATAATATCATTTAGTAATAATAATAAATAATAATAATAAATATAAAATAATAATATCAGTTAGTAATAAATACTTATGTATTTAACAAAGAATGTTTTAAAAGAAGTTTTAAACACACACATAGAGAGAAAGCAATATGTACTTATAAACTTGCGCTCACAAATGATACGTCGTGAAACGATGGATACTTACTGCGATACTAGCTTGTACTACTGATTATATATGAAATGTATCTCTACATATTACGCTTACTCATGATTTGCGTCGCACAAAATGGCTGCTTTCCAGCACTTTAAATAGCTCACATAACTGTAACGTCTACGTCACTTGATATTCATCTATTATTGGAACTATGACAAAATCGAAAGTAAACAGTGTAACGAGGGACAAGGAGTCCCTTGTCCCGTTACGAATCGTTGGGGCGACGACGATCGGTCGCCGCACGATCGAACACCACCGCTACCGTCCCCACACCGCACCGACCATCAGTGCTGCGGCACTAAGGCTCGAGCGCCGAAATATTACGAGCAGTCGCTCGTACGCTCGGGAAAAATTGGGATCAAGACGCAAAAAGGGGTAATCCCAAAATCCGCATGCGCAAATTTCGCAGAAATTAGAGGGGATAACCCCTTCTGCGGTACGCAGACTCGCGGTCTCGATTTTAAGAGTATATAACCCGTTCTCTCGCCGAGATCGAGAGAGTCGTCGTCTCGAAGCGAGACAGTCTTCAGAGCAGAGCTCCCTGGCTAGAAGAGGCAGAAGACCAGAAGACTGAGTAGGACCGAGGAGATCAGTAAAGCGAACAGACAGTCCGGGAAGCACGGCCAAACACCGGTGGATAATTCTCCAAGTATCGTACCGCATCACCGGGAGAATCTTACAAGATCCGCGCGCGAAGAATCTTA